ATATATATATATATATATATATATATGAGCATTCAATATGTAAATTTCAGAATGTTTTGTAATAGTTAACAATGACTTTCTCTCAAATATTAGTCTTATATAACTACTACTAGCCAATGTTCAAAGCATTTATGGCTTGGATTAAAAAAATTTACTTGCCACTCATGTAAGATTGCTCATCAGTAATACTCCCACAACTGAAAAATCTCGTTATGTATGACCAGCTCCTTAGGTAGTTAAGTTCCACACTGCTGTGATGTTGATTGAGTGTTGTTGATTTCCAATGACTTTGTCAGAGCTGATTTTTTTTACAGAACCACATATGCATCTGGTATAAAATGTACTTTCTAAACCCTGTCAAATTTCTTTGTCAAAGAGTAAACATATTTCACGTATTTCCAAAAATGCTGTGCCAGTTTTCTAACTTCTGTTATGAAATGACTGATAACTATTCTCCATCCACATAGCATTGTCAGTCTGTGATCATTCACTCCAACGACAGGAATAAGCTCATTCAAGTACAGAAAAGTTTTACTACCAAAGTAAACCATTGTATAAATGCACTAGAATTGAAGGCAGCAGGCAAAGAAGAATCAAGTATACTCCGTTTTTGTAGATGTAGATAAGCATGTATATAAAAAAGCTGCATCATGTTCATTCAATGTCACTGTGGACAAATTTCTGTTCTTAACTAGTATTACATAATCACTATTGTCCGTATAGACTGATAAATGTTTTATAAGTATTCTGTTCACAAGTACTGTTGGTCACATGTTGCTATCCATCATTTCTCGAATTTAAATATCATCACAACTTTCCACACCCATGAAGATAATTCTATGTTTTTTAAAATTGCATTCCCCCAGTTGTTTCTTTTTCTCTTTTTGGTAGGAATATTTCCTATAATTTTAACCATTTTTCACTCAAAACTATGCTCTCAGTTCAGAAGCTGCTGTTTTTGTCAGCAGTTGTTCCACAAATTAACAGGGATTAGGGCTTTATCCAGCAAGGGGCACATGAGTCGAGTCAGAGAACTGCTTGAGGGTAAAAGTTTACTGAAAGAAGTCGAGCTGGTTATATGGCACAAATGTTTTGAAATAATGTTGGTGTTATATTGGTTCAGTAGTGTACTATAATAAAAATAAGTGGGTTATGATATCTTACATTGTCTTGTTTAATGAACTTCACAACTGTACCTTCTTTCTCATTACAAATTAATCTTGTTTTGCCTAATGTGTAAGTTTCACACCTACACAATACTATTGGTAGTCAGTGTTGTATAATTACCTCCCCACTCCCAATTTTTTCCCTCAAAAATAACTGTGCATGCCATATTTATCCATTTGCATTCGTGATAGGCACTTGAAAAGTAGTACTGTAGCTTGTTTTATTTTTGGAGAAAAGATACACAGTGTCCACAGTGGGTACTATTGAATGTGTGTTATAGTACCATTAGTGAACCAGGAACTCAAAGTACTTTAGACCATAATACAAAAATACAAATGGAAATACAAAAATTAAAGTTTTATATGGTGGGGAAAAAGACATTTACTATACATGAATGACAAGCGTAATTTATCAGAGAAATGTCTAAATCTTTGTTTGCTTGTGCATGTGTGTGTGTTCATGAACACGCATAAGAGAAAGTAATGCAGCATACATAAACGTGCCTGTCAGTCTTCCTAGAAAATTTAAAGTTATAAAGAAAGATGAAGTTCGTAAACACTTGAAATCTTTAATCAAACTGAGAAATACAATTTCTAAAACATCTGAAAATATATAACAAGAGGTAAGTATATTCTAATATATTCCTCTAGTGCATGTAATTGTGAATGGTGTTTTTGATGAATTAGTAGAATGAGCCTGAATTGGTTCTACTACATGTAATGGGGTCAACTGTTAGTTTTGTAATGTGCCAACTGCTGAATGTGCAGTGGGTTTATTTCGAGCTTGAGCAAAATGACTTTTCCCTGTGATTTTAGAAATAAAGATAAGAGAAATAAATCACATGTGAAATTTATTATCATTTTGCTTCATTTCTTTGTTCTTTCAACTTTATGAATAGTTTTCAGTGATTCATGTAAATTTCAAAATACAAAAACCATAAAATTTCCCATTGAAAATATTGAAACTTTTAATCACACTTTAAAGCTTTATGTTGCATGTGGGTTGAGTTACAACCAATGTATACACAATCTCTTATATTTCCAAACTTCATCTAATAAAATACTTGTAGAGTTAACAATTAGGTTGTTACTATTGTTTGTTTAATACTTTGTATGCATAATATTATAGTACTTTTAGTAAAAGCAATTTGTTTTATATTTATTACTTGTGACTTGAAACAACTACTACCAGAAAAGAAACCATCATGTTTAATTCAAGTTTTGAAACTTAAATTTTTAATTGGAAATGCTATTTCAAGTAGCTTACTAAAATGAACAGGGAAAATAGGGTTACTTACTGAAATGTTTAGAAATCATTGTGTCCTGAAAAGAGATTGATCACCGTATCACCTGATTACATCAATGCTATGAGGCTGATGCTCTATTTAAGTCATAACAGATAACTCCCATCTTATTTGTTACATTCATTAAATAAGGCTCACTCTTCAAGTTATTGCACACATCACATCTGTCCCCTGGTGGGATGGCAGTAAGTTTATGAACTGACAACACTAAAATTTGAGGTTTAATTCCCTGATGGACTTATAACACTAAAATCTGAGGGTCAGTTTCCTGTGGTGAACACAGCTGATAGAGCAGTGTGGCTTTGCTCTAAAACAAACAGACACAACAAATCCTCCTTAATTGTCAATACACAACTAGACATCTTCCAGTCAACAACACATATATGATATACAAAGCCAACAGCTGAACCAAGCTTGAGCACAAATAGTTTGATTTATCATCTGTTCAGCTCAGGTAGCACTTGGTTATTGGATGACAACTTGCTGGTACAAGTATAACAGGATACTAAAAAAATCTTCACTTTCTAGGGCTTGAACCAAGACCCTCAGCTTTTACTAGAAGCTAGAGACTAATACTATAGCAACTGAGCTACCAGGACTGAAGCACAAAAACAGATAATTCCCATCCTGACTGTTAAAACATGAGTAACTTACTGTTAGTTTTGGTTTAGGTTCTAATGTTGTTAAATTATACGTTTTTGCTTACTTCATTCTGAAAACTTTAGCTTATGTTCTTTTAATTGAACCTATAACCATTAACTTGTTATTCACTACTGGTCAACATATTTACCATAAATTCCTTTTAAATATGGAAAACAGTATATAACAATACTCAGAAATTATGATTAAACAGCTTTGTATTTTCTTTTGCCTTTTGCAGATAGTCTCTCAAAGTGTGGGTTCTGTTGAGGAAAATTTCTTTGAGAAATTTGTACCAACTCCAGAGGTAATTACTGATTTAGAGCCTCCTTCTATCAGAGAATCTGTAAAACCTCTAGAAACAGGAGAGGACCAAATTGATAGACCAAGGTGAGATATAAAACAAATAGGTCATTTGTGTTTAAGAGATTCTATTCAATGCACAAAAATCTACTACAAATGGCAATTTAACAAGAGAAGTTTCTAAAATGGTTTTACCTCTTCTCACCCAGAGCTATCTTGATCCTGGTATGCCTTATAAGCATTGCCCCCGAAGGGGCATGTTTGACAACCAATGGCACTCAGAAACCACTGTTCCTCTTCAGCCCCTCATGCAAAATTAAGCTTATAGCTCTATAAAGAAATATTAAGGGCTTCGTGGCTTGGTATGATACATACTGATATGCTGTTCGGGATTTTATGGTTAATTATTTACAAATATGTATTTAAGAATTAATGCTAACTGGGCAGGTAGAATATGATCTGGCTAAATGTTTAATTCATAAGCAGCAACCAGGAAAAGCCATGAATTAGGAGAAACGAGAGAAGGGAAGAAGTTTTGAAGTGTCAGAATCAGCAAAAGGTAGCATTGTGAAGATGGGAGCATGTGGTGGTGACATCAGATGTTGTGTACTGGCAGGAAGGACCAAGGCTGAGGTAAAGCAGCAAGTTCCTGCTTAAAGAATGACATGAATATGTCATAATTAAAATTTATAGATTAAGATAAAATCTTCCTTCCCCAGGTGAGTTTGTACTAAAAATGCACCAGTCTTTTATACTCCTCAGTTTGCCATTTTTCTTTTGAACATAGACTGATCATGTGATCATTCTCCACCAATGATGTTGTGCCATCTATACTGGCATAGCTAGCTCCCTCTACTATTTTAAAACAAACCTAACTCTCAATTGGCATTCTAGTGTCCAGAAGTGTGTTTTTACTCGCTTTTCATGTGACTACAGACGTTTGATTGTGCTTGATCACACATTACTATCAGTTTCTACTTCCAAGTTTCAACTTCCTGTGTGTGATTTACATTGTTTCTATCCATTTGTTTTAGAAATATTTCTGTTTTCCGAATTCTACTTTGTTTATATTGACTTTGGTATTCAATATTGGTGGTTTTCGTATTTCCCACCAAAAGTAGACAGTGGTTTTGCAAATGTCCTAAAGTCTGGGTTGACGATGTCTGCAAGCTGCAGTTAGCGGGGAGTTCGTGTGTTACATTCGGTTGACCATTTCTTTCTTTCATGATTTTTTCTCTGAGGAAGGTCATACCTACTGAGTGGGAAAATTCTTTATATGGCACTTTCCACCTGTTACTGTGCCTCAATGTAATCTCCTTGGTTAGATATTGTTCTTTTTCCCAGGAGATTTGTGGTTTTTCAAAGTGTCTTCCATAAACCCTCAGTAGGTATTCCCATGTTTCGCTGTTTATTTGATCTTGCATGGTTAGGTCTATTTTCATCACATAATAATTTAAGTCTTTAATGTTTTCTCAGTTCAGTATTCGGCGAGTTAAATTTTAATAATTCTTTTACATTACTCTAGTTTACCTTTTTGATTGGAGTTGATAATTCCCTGTTTTTGTTAAATTTTCAGTATAAGTGCAGGTTTTGCCCCTCCACCTATACAATGTGAGATTCTAGCTCTGGGTGATAGGAGATAAGACCGTTTTGGATGTTAACATTTTTCTTACACCGAAAATGTATTTCCGATAGGTACTTACCTCCACTCGTGTGATATGTGGACCTGTTACTGTAGTCATTTGTTACAGATGGAAGTAAAGAAACACGACATTATGTGAAGTTAAAGTTATGGAAAAAACAGAAGAAAGGCTGAGATGGTAGAACTGTTGGTCTGAATTTAGTTGAAGAATTTAAACTGTATCAAAATAGAATAGTAAACAACTGGAATTATATTAATTAAATAAACAAAAACTGATTACCAGATTAAGCTTTAATAAATGAAACAACTTCAAACTTTAACAAAAATTAATTTTTTTACACCCTTGAAATTATAAGAAAAATGTCATTGTGCTCAAAAATACATTGGGAACCTTTAATGACAAGTGAGAAATAAAATGACAAAAATAAAATTTTTTTTGGTTACATCATATCTTTTCATAGTTAAAATTTTGTTTACTAACATATATATAGCCATACACGAAAAAAATGTTTTGTACTTTTACAATGACACTCTCCATTGCTTAAATAGGATTAAAGATAAACTGTTTTATCCTCATATAAACCTAGTAGTAGTTTGTTTAAAAATATGATTTTTTTTTGTATTCCTCTTTCACTGTTATGCCACAAATATTGTGACAGCTTCAGGTGTTTGTTTCAGTGTATTTGGGCTCACATGTTTGATAGTTAAAAGCAGTATGAAGAAAACTGAAGTTATAAGTTTCAAATGTCAAGCATCATAATTATAACCCAGATTTGTAACAGAATCAAGGTAATAATAATTTTTATTTTTAATACTTAGTGACCTGTCTCAGGGGTGGTACAGTTCATCAGTTGGAACGGAACTTTTCTCGCCAGGGCCTATGCAACAGCTATGGAAAAAGGTATTATTGTGAAGTTTAAAGTTTTAGACAGTAGCAAACAGTTGTAGAAACATTAGTAATATGCAAAAATATTCCTAGATATTACCCATAATTACTATAGAATTGCATGTTTTATTGCTATCTGAAAGCTTCACATAAACTGAAATTTAGCTAAACGTTATTAGGTTTTATCATATCATTAAGATAACTTGTAACCTCTTGTAAGTATATCTTCATCTGTTTTTGTTTTTGTTTATTTTAAGACTAGCTGTTCCATTAATGAATCCTTAATAATAGCAAGCTGATAGCCTGATATGTTCAAGTAAGACTATCAATACGCACAAGAATGACATCCGGAATTAACCGTGATGTTTTCTTTCTGGCATCAGTGATATATCTTACTGGTCAATTTTGAGTGTGTGTTATTGCATTAGGATATATTTACTGTTCTGTAACTGTAAATATTAAATATGTAATATGAAAGCCAGAAATTATATATAAGTACTTCTTCTCTTGTAAACCAATGGAAACTGAAATTAACCCTTTGTTTTTTTTTTTAAAGCACACATTCTCACCAGACTAAACATTTAATTTCTTTATGCATGGTTGAACGAAGTGAATTACTCTCCCTGTCTTTGTTATGGCAATGCTACTAATGCTATCTGCCACTGTCACTAACTTTAAACTGCTGATTAGAGGTAAGGCAACTGGTTGGAAGCATCCTCTGCCAACTGGTTTCTTTTTCTTTGCTCTTACCGAGGAACTCGTGCCTTGATTTGAGGAATACTTTATAATCAACTAACTGAATGTAGTCACTAATCACCCAGCTCTGTAGTGACATTGCTTATCAAGTACTTATGAAAGTGTTTTGTTTAGATGATGACATATTTAAATGGGCAATGCTGAAAAAAGTTTTAAGTTCTGCCAAAATGTGAAAGAGGCATAAAAGAAATTATGAAACAACTGATAAGAGTTGTTCATAATGATTCAGTACAAGTTTTATTAGGTAATACTGTAAGCAGTTGTGTAAAGAGGTAAAAACTAAAATGAACTAAATAGAATATGTTCTAGATAGTTCTTAGGTCAAATTTCATTTTAGTAATAAAAAAATATACTAATTGCAGAATTGTTATTGTATCTTCACAAAAATCACTAAAATCCAGTATGAGAATTTTAATCCTGGATCAATCTATCTGGTGAGGTAATAAGCTTGAGTTGACAAACCACTCTCAGGAAAAATAAAATCAATAGCTGCTTTATCCTTTTAGCTGACAACCCTGAAAGATTTTTGTGATGGTGCAATATGTCTGAAGAACTGGTAGTTAAATGTCTAAAGTTTCAAGCCTTACATATTCCAGAAACGTGATGGTGCAATAAGTCTGAAGAACTGCTAGTTAAACGTCTAAGGTTTCAAGCTTTATATATTCCATAAATTTGATGGTGCAATATGTCTGAAGAACTGCTAGTTAAACATCTAAGGTTTCAAGCTTTACATATTCCATAAACTTGATGGTGCAATATGTCTGAAGAACTGCTAGTTAAACGTCTAAGGTTTCAAGCTTTACATATTACATAAACTTGATGGTGCAATATGTCTGAAGAACTGTTAGTTAAACGTCTAAGGTTTCAAGCTTTATATATTCCATAAACTTGATGGTGCAATATGTCCAAAGAACTGCTAGTTAAACGTCTAAGGTTTCAAGCTTTACATATTCCATAAACTTGATGGTGCAATATGTCCGAAGAACTGCTAGTTAAACGTCTAAGGTTTCAAGCCTTTCATATTCCATAAACTTTAGTTTTCATTTCATTTGTTTTTGTAAGGATGGAATTTGACATGATTTTTAAGCTTTGTCATTTTCTGTTTAAATCTCAGAATCAATTTATAAACATTTTGAATGGATGTGCAAAAATTTAATTTGTAACTGTATAGAAGTTAAAAGTGCCACTCCAATTATGTGTAAGTTTGTAAATTTTCTATGGATATGTAAGGGTTAATTAAACTTGTCATACATGAAACATTAGTATTAGACCTATTGTATTTTTAGCACTGTATTCTTTATCTAGTCCCCAAGGTATTTTTTTTAAATGTGTATAATTGTATTTCGACCACACTATATTCACCGTATCCATTACCAACAACATGTTTTGCTCAATCCAGAGCTCATCAGACCAACTGGAACACAATAAACACAGTAGTGGTCAGAACATTATTTTTATAAGCCATTTCTTACAATAATAATTGTTTTAGTCTGAATACTTTTTCTAAGCTGATGAGGCATGATTATAATTAATTATACTTAATCATAGGATGTTAGTATTAGGTTTATTATATTAAAGTTTTAACACTGCATAAAACTCAAACAAAAAATAGAAAATAAAAAGGACTTTGTTACCCAATCATACGTAATCGAAAATGGTGCAGTCTCCTCCCTTCTTTTATCTTTAATTTGCTATTGTTATTCTGAAATCTTTAGGTTTACATGTGGCTAGATTCTTTATTTTGTCTTATTACTGGACAACTTTCTTCCCTTAATTAGCTGCAGACTGAATTTGTAGTTTGGTTCAGAACATTAAGGATACAAACACCTGAATCTAGCCCCTTTAATAATTTAAATTTTTGTTTGTTTCTTGTTGCACAGCAGATTCTCAGCCATTTCATTGTATAATTTAAGAGAGAGAGACTATCTTAAACATTATTTGAATGTAGTTTAAAAGTTACGTGCCATTTATGACTTTATATGTTTTTATTGTTTATTTTGGTTTCTGAATGTTTTGTCTTGATGTATGTTTGGATTTAACTTTAGGATTTCGTGTTTCTTATATATATATAATGTTTTTCTTTCTTCCAAATGATGTATCTTATTAGGTACAGGTTTTTGTTGCAGATTGTGAGTAAGTCACGTGATAATTCAGATAGAAGACAGTATGGAATGGGAGTAGTTGGAAAATTTTTCAAAAGAAACTTTCAAATGGATCATAATATTTCAGGTGGTAAAGGGCAAGGTGAAAATATAGAGGACAGTAGGTAAGTGAGCTTATAGTTCTTGATTATTTGATATGTTCCTCGTTTATTTTGCTTGAGTTCTTTATATCACTCCCTGTTGACATTACCTCTCTGTGAAATAGGCAGGAGAAGATGGCAATCTTATGAATTGGCATCACATTTTCACACTGTAAAAACACGATAAATGTGTGTTAAGTATATAGTTTATACTGACCTGTACACTAAATCATAGAACATTAAAAACATCAATGTGCCTCACATATCAGAGAAATCACCAATGTAACTGATTGTTTCAACATCTCATTGCATAATAGAAGCAAATTTCTTAAGATCTATAATGTACCAATTCTGAATAAACCTGTGGTAACCAATCATTGAGTTCTAACCTTTTAAGTTAATGTCATAAATTTACAATATGTCTGTCAATAAAGCACTTTATATTTTCTGTTGTTATGCATTATTTGAAAAAACATTCTGAATAGAATAATAAATGACAGTAACTGTTTAAATGACTTTTCTTTTATGAAGAGGTGCTTACAGGATTCTATTAAAATAGTCTTAAAAAAATTGTTGTTAGAGAAATTCCTCTGTAAAGATTCCGATATATTCTTACCCCCTCTCACCCAAAACTACCTCAATCTTCTTCTGTCGTCTAACCATTGCTAAAAAGACTTTTGCAATCAGCATACCAGTCTATATACCCCATCAATTTCATGCCATTTCTGAACATTTATATATCATGTGACTTATCTCCACCAATAGTATTGAGCCACATATAATGACGCAGCTAGCTTCCTCTTTTATTTCTGCTCAATCCTCACTTTCTTGATTGACACTACAGTGTTTAGATGTGTGTTTTTACAAGTTTGACTTGTTTCTGATTGTGACTTGTTGCCATCTCAAAGAATAAAATTTTCTCTTCAGTTTTTTTCTGTTGTTTTATTTATCAGTGTTTGAATTCAATTGTTTCATCGATTTTGCATTTGAATTTTTCTTGTTCCCAAATTCTAAGTGTAATTAGTATGAATTCTAGGTTCAGTGTGTTGGAAACAAAAATTTCCATGGCAGAACTCGAGTTCGACTTTATCTGCAGCGGAAGTACAGTCCTTAATTTGCCGGGAGCTAGAGTCACATGTTCAGATGGCGATTTCTTCTCCTTTTCAACCTGAACATGTTTCTGAGGAAGAATTCCATCATGGTGAAGAAAATTTGGACTCTATTTTTCCTGCACCTTCTTATTTTGGTCAGTCAAGATCTACACCTATTCAGGAGATTTCATCTCTCATCCCTTTTTTTACAACTTGTTAATCAGGTAAGTAGTATTTTGCATATTTCCCCTATCGCCAATGGTGCCTACCCTTCCTTACTGGGTGGCATCCCACCTTCTGATTATTATATTTTTTCCCCCTTTGCCTGACATACAAGTTCATGCTCAGAGATTTTCTGACCAACTTCAGTTAGGTGTCACCATGCCCTGTCCTCCTCATTTCTTGGACCAATATGCTTTGGTGTATCATCGTGCATGACCTGATACACAAAGAAGTTATCGAGCAGGTGTGCACCATTCAACGTGGTTTTATTCCCATCTCTTCATGGTCTCCAAGAAGATGAAACACTGGAGACCAATCATTGATCTGTCCCAGATTAATTCTTTTCTGGACCCCACTCACTTTACTATGGCATCTTATCTCTCACTTCAGTGGGTGTTTTCTCCAGGACTCTGAATGACTAAGTTTGACATGATGGACACCTGTCTTAACATTCTTATTGCTCCCAAGTCATGTTTTCTTGGGTTTGTCCATGAGGGTCATGTTCCAGTTCAGGGCTCTACTGTTTGGACTAGACTCGGCTCCTTATGTGTTTTGTCAGGTGGTACACATTATTTCCCAACACCTTCACTCAATGGGTCTTTGCACTCATCATTACATGGATGACTGGCTCCTGCTTGCTTCTTCCTGTTTGCAGTCAGGAAACCACACTTGTCTCCTCCTACAAGAAGCAACAAAGTTGGGTTTTCTGATCAAGTCTCTTCTTACCCCCACTCAATACCTTGTTCATTTGAGGTTTTTCTTCAATTCCAACCTCAGTCAGGCCCAGTCTTCTCCTCTTTGTGTCTGGGATATGGAGCGAGTAGTGCTTATATGCATTCACTTCAGTGGACACTGCTCGCTCCGTGGAACTTCTCCTTGGATCCCTTGAACCACTCTTGGTGGCTTGATAGAGACCAAACCATGGTGGGCATTCTACTTCCTCCACCTTGTCTAGAGTAATATATGTTCATTAACACATCTTTAGAAGGTTGGGGTGCTTCCCTTGACTCTCAAGAGATTTCCGGTCTCTGGGCAAAGGAGGAGTCTGACCTCCATATCAACATTTTCTGAATTATGGCAGTTCGTCGAGCTTTGTCCCACTTCCTTCCTCTGCTCTGTGGGAGGGTGGTTATGGTCTTCTCTGACAACTATACTGTCATCACTTATATCACCAAGCAAAGAGATACAAAATCCAGGTCTCTGTGTTTTCAGACCCTGGATCTCTTTTTCTTGGTCCACAACCATGTTATGGCTTTAGCTTGCTATGTTCCTAGCATTCTGAATCTGGTTGCAGATCAGTTATCTCTTCCCCACAAGATTCTCCCCATGGAGTGTTCCCTCAATCCTCAGGTCTTTCTGTGTATTTGTTCTCAGCTGGGAACACCTCATGTTGATGCCTTTGCCACCCACTGGAACACCAAACTTCCTTCTTTTTGGTTTCCCATTCCACACCCATTAGCTCTAAGGGTGGATGTGTTCAGTCAAGTTCGATCGGACATTGTTCATCCAGACATTGCTAAACCCCATCTTCATGTATGGCTTTTGTCAGGTCCATTGCCTCAGCCCATGAACTGACTTCTTGGGTTGCATCTTTCCTTTCTTGATCCATCAGATCTTCTTCCATGGCTGTTCACCTTTGGTCTGTTTGACATGGCTTCCTTCCTTCCAACCCTTCCATTCCTCATCTTTCCCAATTCTTCACCTGCTTATTTGACAAAGGCTTGTCTGCTTGAACTGAGTCTAGTTCTTGGGCAACCTTGTCAAACACCTTCTGTTTCTCCAATTTTCATGTACAAGTTTTTGTCTTCCTGCTCCTTTCGAGTCATGCATCCTCTTTGTTTTCCTTTGATTTGTTTGATTGGGATCTCAGTGTGGTCCTTTATGCCCTTTCTCATCCTCCCTTTGAACCTTTGTCTACATATTCCATGTACAATATCTCCATCAAGTCCTATTTCCTTCTCCTCCTTGCTTGCAGACATCATTGTTTAGATATTTATGCTATTAATGTTACTTACATCCTTTACCATTCCTCTTATTTCATCCTCTATCCTGACCGGTCCTTCCTCCCTAAGATCTATGTTGCCCGTAAAGGTGGTCTGGCTTTCACATCCATTTCTTTACTTACTATTTCTCACCTTTACTCCCAATCCGATCCTGATCTGCTTCTTTGTCCAGTTCACTCCTTACAGTGTTATGTGTCATGTACTGCCTCCTTTTGGGGTTCATGTTCCTGACTTTTAATTCACTGGAACCCTTCCATTTCCTGTGATCTGTCTGCTACCACTCTCACTAGTTGGGTTCTTCAATGCATTAGATTGGCATCTTCAGACTTATCCATGGAAGGTCACCATCTCCACAACATTTCCTCTCATCAAATTTTTCACATTACTATCTCTATGGCTGCTTGTTTTCACCATCCTTTGGCGGAGATCATTTGGGCTGAAATGTGAACTACTCCCAATACCTTCATTACTCATTATCTACACGATCTGGCTGTATCTTCCTCTGGTGGATATTATTTCCCTCCCATGGCAGTTCTACACATCTGTTTACCTTTCACTGAAGTAAATCTTATTACTTCCTTTCATTTGTGTTTTTTTTCAGCAAACTGATAATGGGTTCCCACTCTGTGGCGAGTGGTGCCTGCTCAGTTATGCTGTGCTTCATAACCATACTATAACGTTCACTGTAGAGATGGGGTATTTCCACAATACCACTGGTGACACACCCCATGTTATGTATGGACTTCATGAGTGAAGCAGAAGGGGATTTCTACCCATCTCTGCCGACCCTTTCATTAAATAAATTGGGGTTGGCGTGCTTTTCAAAATAGGGAATTGTGGACACCCATTGCACTTTGTCTAGTGTAACATTTCTTTGTAATCTCCACCACATTTAACCCCTTTTTTCCATTTCCCCTAGATGCTTTTACCCAGTAGACTAATGTCAGTTGGAGCAGGTCCAGACAATGTGACATCCTCCTTGTAATACCATGTTTGGTATGACACTGCCCTATTCCTATGGTTGTGTGCTGTAGATGCCTATTTTCTCCTCATTCCAGTTGTGGGAAGTTCTTTCCTTGCTCCTATGGTTGTGTGCTATAGAGGCCTCTTTTCTCCTCATTCCAGTTGTGGGAAGTTCTTTCCTTGCTCCTATGGTTGTGTGCTATAGAGGCCTCTTTTCTCCTTATTTCTGTTGTGGGAAGTTCTTTCCCTGCTCCTATGGTTGTGTGCTGTAGAGGCCTCTCTTCTCCTTATTTCTGTTTTGGGAGGTTCTTTTTCTGCTCGTATGGTTGAGTTTGGGGGACTTCGTTTGCCTCACAATACTGGCTACAGAACATACGTACACTGTTCCTGTAGTTGAGCAGATGTTCCATATCTTCCTTATTCTTCCAGATGCAGGATATCTCTTCCCTGCATTTATGGTTCAGTTACAGATATTATCTTGTTCTTACAGTTGAGTTGAGACAATTCCACATCCCTGTAATTCTGGGTTTAGTTTGTTGTACTTCTTGCTCCTTCAGTTGTTTCAGGAGTTTGTCTGATTTTGGCTGAAAACTAACTTTCCTTTGGTAATTTTGATTGCTTGACTTGTGACCCTCTGTTTATTTATGGTTTGGGTTGATAAATATATATAAAACACTGTTCACATATTTATGTTTCCATATATTACATTATGTTACAATATATTTTTTTTATCCTTAACCTCCTAATGCCAAGGATGAGTTATGGAACCTCGTCTGTCCAGTTGAGGTTGTGAATGTACATAGCTAATTCTGTTTATATTTTACTATGGATTCCACATCTCAGAACAAATTGCACGTGTGTATATACTTTTTTCCACCCGTATCAGATTAATTTCTTACTTGAAAGGTAAAGAGCATACCTGTTCCAGAAGTAGTGCAGTGCCACAAAAGTGTGCTTTGTTTTCATCTCCAAGTACACCTGTTCATTCTGGGTGGTTGCTTTCCACTTAGTTTCAACTTAGGTGGTGCAATACTATTGGTAGAGAAAAGTCACATGATATGTACATTGATGGAGTATATAGACTGGTGCACTGATCATAAAGTTTTTTTAGCAATGCTTAGAGGGCAGAAGAAGATTGAGATAGCTTTGTGTGATTGGAGGTAAGTACCAATTGGAAATACATTTTCAGTGTAAAAAAGTGTTAACTTTCATTCCCCCTTTTTTTAGATATTTTATTATTGTTATTTTATTGGTAATTTTTTCTAAGCCCTTTTTAACCAAGGAAGTGATAAATTAATAAATGTTGAAATATTAAATGCTTTTTATTTTATGAATTTTATTAACAGATCTAAAAGTTTTGCATTATTATCAAGAAAACAACTAATGTTAATTTATTTCATAACTTGTGATATATTACTCATGTTTTGTTACCTATTTCATTATCATGTCATTGCAGTGGAACATTTAATTATTAACACTTTTGTACAGATTTACTTATGTACAACACATTTTTCTTTGCAGGCCTTATTTTACTTATTGGATTACAACTGTGCAAATTCTAATAAGCATAATCTCCTTAGCTGTTTATGGTTTTGGACCAGTAGGTTTTCATAAAACACAGCGATCTAGTCAGGTATGTAACTTGTCTCATAAGACACAGTGATCGAGTCAGGTATGTAACTTGTCTCGTAAGACACAGTGATCGAGTCAGGTATGTAACTTGTCTCGTAAGACACAGTGATCGAGTCAGGTATGTAACTTGTCTCGTAAGACACAGTGATCGAGTCAGGTATGTAACTTGTCTCGTAAGACACAGTGATCGAGTCAGGTATGTAACTTGTCTCGTATGACACAGTGATCGAGTCAGGTATGTAACTTGTCTCGTAAGACACAGTGATCTAGTCAGGTATGTAACTTGTCTCATAAGACACAGTGATCTAGTCAGGTATGTAACTTGTCTCGTAAGACACAGTGATCTAGTCAGGTGTGTAACTTGTCTCATAAGACACAGTGATTTAGTCAGGTATGTAACTTGTCTCGTAAGACACAGCGATCTAGTCAGGTATGTAACTTGTCTCGTAAGACACATCAATCTAGTCAGGTATGTAACTCTTGTCTCATAAGACACATCAATCTAGTCAGGTATGTAACTCTTGTCTCATAAGACACAGCAATATAGCCAGGTATGTAACTCTTGTCTCGTAAGACACAGCAATATAGTCAGGTACGTAACTCTTGTCTCGTAAGACACAGCAATCTAGTCAGGTACGTAAATCTTGTCTCGTAAGACACAGCGATCTAGTCAGGTACGTAAATCTTGTCTCATAAGACACAGCGATCTAGTCAGGTACGTAAATCTTGTCTCATAAGACACAGCGATCTAGTCAGGTACGTAAATCTTGTCTCATAACACACAATGATCTAATCAGGTACGTAAATCTTGTCTCATAACACACAATGATCTAGTCAGGTACATAACTTTTGTCTTGTAAGGCATAGTGATCTAGTCAGGTAGGTAATTCTTGTCTGACAAGACACAGTGATCTAGTCAGGTATGTAACTCTTGATAGAAATACAATGTTAAGTGTTCCCTTGTACTGTTGTTTGTTCTCTGATTGCAGAAATACTCCATCAGTGTGATTTTTATCAGTTTTCAAAGTATATAATTCAGAAAGCACCTTTTGAAAATGATTGTGTACATATATAAGTTTAAAGAACTCTAATAAAAGATTTTTTCAGCTTCTTTTGCTATAAAGTTTAACAATCCAAACTCACAAAATATTATTGTGAGCTGTGTACATACAAGAACATTGTCAAGAATTCACTAAAGGAATAAAACTGAAGTGGCTAATATTTGATCAGATGGCCTTCATCACTACCTAAATTAAAGTAAGAAAGTATGCTAACATATAAAAGTAGAAAGCCATTTCCCGGTTACAAGACATAAGGCAGAGAGTACACATTGAAGGATATGGGGAAAAATAAAAGTAGAAAATTTTTTCTGGTTGTTTTCTCTTTCTATGGGTACATCAGTGCTGAAACACAACAACAGGATAAAGATAGGAAATTTTCTGGTTGTACTCTGTTTATGAAGGATGCAACAGTACTGAAACACAGAGGATGTTAGGAAGAGAAAAATGGTGTATGTGTGATCAAGTGATGTTAGATATGGAAATCTCGCTGCTTTTAACAATGACACATTTGTTACTTGTAGGTTTTAGTCACAAGACTTTCCTTAGAACAAGTGGACTATTTTGAACCAGATAATTTCTGGATTGGACCAAGAGCTGTAAGTTTTTAATTTTTTACACATGTTTATGTGTGATTCAGCTTGCACTACTTTGTGTGTGTGTGATATCAAATTAAGTGAATATTGGAAGGTGAAATAAATAATGGGATATACACATATGTGTGTGGGGTAGCAGACTACATAAATTAGTTTGTGCTTTGATTGTTGTAAAGCAGGAATATTGTAAAGGAGGGATCCTTTGTGTTTTCCTTTACAGCAATCGGGAAATTCTTATTCTACCCATTTTAAAAGCTGGAATAATCAACTTCAAGTGTACTTTTCTTAGATTCTGTTAGATTCTTTAAAATTTTCATTTGTCAATTGTAGTCTTATTTTTGAATAATGTTATTAGTATTTAGATAATAAAATATAAGTTTCACTAATTGTTTATATAGAAGTATTTAAAAAGAAGGAAAATTTATTTCTGAAAATTGTTCATAAATAGATATTTTCTGATTTAGGCAACACATAAGCAGTTGTTAGTAATCATGTGGTATAAATTTTATGTTTTTAACTGTATTCTGAGAAAGTTGTAGCTGATGTTATATATTTTAATGTGGGCAGAATGGACACTTCTGGGTCCCCATATACCCTACCATTTAATTCTTTGTTTGCTTCTTTATCTTACAAGAAATAGAATGAAATATCCTAAAATTAATAGTAGCAACTTCTAATTTTCAAATAAACTTAGCCCCAAAATTGGTCATTTTAGTATAATCTTCAAACTTAATAACTCCATATTTTGGTATCCCAGAATGCACATTTACCAGCAGAAGTGAATAAGTCAGAGAAATTTCAAACAAAGTAGAACACTTTGTAAAAATTTAGCTTCTGATTGTACGAAACACATCTACAAAACTGTTTATAAGATGGTGATTTTTATATTTTACTCTAATGTAAAATAACTTGTTCTGTGAAAATTTTTTAAGAAATACTCTTTACTTTAAGAACTTATATAAATAATACCACTTTTAATGTTAATGCATGGGATGCAATTTTAAAATTTAGTTTATAACATATTAGGCTGGGCACAGCGTAGTGGTTAATGTGCTTAGACTGTGAATCTAAGGGTTCACAGTTTGTAACACTTTGCAAATTTGTGCTCAATACATTGGGTGCACTATACAAGTGACAATCACATCCCGCTGTTTGTTAAGGCTGGAGCAAATCAAGTGTTGGCAATGAGTGCTATTGAATAGTTTCTTATGCAGATAGCCCTTTGTGTAGTTTTTTTCTAATTTTGGATTGTGTTCACATGGTAGTCTTTTGATTTTTTTTTACTCACAGAAGCTGCTAATACTCTACTGTGAAAACTGTCATCAGTTCAAGAGGCAAGCTCAGTTTGTATACTGCCATCTATTATTTGCAAAAAGAAGATAGCAGTACTTTATTACCTCAGTAACTAGTATTTCAAACTTCTTTCTTAAATACTTCTGTGCTAAATAACACAAGCACTTTTGTTTAATAAATTGGTAATATCAAAAAAAATATTTATTCAATATTTCTTTTAATTTTTAGAAGAATTTCCATTTTTCATATGCATAGTACTAACTCTTTAAAGACGTAAGGTATTGAAAATTGCCAATAGAAATTAGTGTCTGACATTTAAAAATAGATTATTAAAAAAGCAAATGTAGAACAGATATTAAAAAAAACTTGAACATTCGTTTGTAAAGTGTGAATGTAAAATTACTTTAACATTATGAATTAAGGTTATGAATTTGAGAATTAGATCTGGATTCTAGAATTAGCTCTAATGTGAGATGTCATGTATAGACCTTGGTGTACGAAATGAATAAATTTTAGGTATAGCAATCAAATTTAACAATTAAATCATCCGTCATGCATTGGCTATCCTAGTCATTAGGAACCTCTAGACTTCCATGTTACCATAGGCATGCATTCCTAACTTGTCTGTGTCTGGTGTGCAAATATTTCCAAAAACGTTTTTTGCTACTGAACCTATTCTCAAATCAAAGGATTCTCAAGATATTCCTTCATTTTTGACTAATTGGAAAACCAACAGATTCTTGTAGGAAAATACCTTGGGAAGAATATCTAACTTAAAATTATTTCCAAAGTGAATAAATGATGTTTTCACAATCTGTTACTTAAATTGTTTAAGGGTGTATGCTTTGTCTAACCAAGATTCTGATACACTGGCATTGAAGTTGACCAAAAATCTGTGTGAAGACAAGGAGTGCTTATGAAGATTCATCCAATGACAGGAGTTTTGTAAGATATTGGAAACTAAGAAAAAACAAGAAGGCTATCAAGTTATGTATGACCATGAAAGACAAGCCTCGATATCAAGATCTGCTGTCTTTATATTTGAGCTGCAGTACTACAACACCCGAAAATACAGGCTATACTCAAGGATGTTCATGCTTTTGAGGTACAATACTACAGCACCTGAAAATACAAGGCTATTCTCAAGGATGCTCATGATTTTGAGGTACAGCACTTCAACACCTGGAAATACAGGCTATTCTCAAGGATGCTCATGATTTTGAGGTACAGTACTTCAACACCTGGAAATACAGGCTATTACTCAAGGATGCTCATGATTTTGAGGTACAGTACTTCAACACCTGGAAATACAGGCTATACTCAAGGATGTCATGATTTTGAGCTAGAGTATTACGTCACCTGAAAATACAGGCTATACTCCAGGATTTTTTATGTTTTTGAAAACTGATGAGGTGGTATAAGAATCAACTGAATCATGTGATATGCTGCACAATCATGCACCTAGTTTCAGCTTCTACTCTGTGGTACACTTCATTGTTTTATATTATGTCTTTGTTTTCAAATATACAAAAGAAAACTTTGGTTTGATTTTTGGTACTTTTTTTTTAATTATGTTTTCTGTCATTATAAAGTTTCATGGAGGTAGCATTCTGAAAAAGGTTTTTTGGTATTTGTTGAATTATGTTTAATGCCTTGCTCTTTTTGACTCAATCTTGAAGTCAAGATTCACAGTCAAACAAATGAAATGCTGCAAGCAGTGTCTAAATATACATATAATGTTTACTTCTAATATGGGGATTTTGAAAGACTACCCCATCATTCAAGCTGTATCTACATACTGAATCTGACTCTCAAAAATAATTCAGTTGTGACTGCATCTCTTGCTTATATGCCTGAAGAAATAAAGTATTTTAAATACAACTTTATTACAAATAACCTTAGATCATCCTCACACATCCCTAATGATTTGTACTCAATAAATATACCAAATCCTGGAATAGTTCAAGGTATATTATAAAAATGTAGTTTTATGCTTATTCATCTAGCTTTAAAGTATCAATGAATTTACACAGACAGGCTTTCTTTTGCAACACTTTTGACATCACTTTTGTTGTTATGAATATTTTTCTGATTTTACTGACTGACTTCTATTAGTTTTCAAACTTTTATAATTACTTTTTATTGAAATAAATTTTATTATACAGGCAGACCTCGTTCATTTGGGTGCTAAGTTTACTCCCTGTATGCGGAAGGATAAAAATATTTTTGATGCCATAAAAAAAGATCAAGATATTGAAAGAGAGACAGCTTGTTGTGTACGTAATGACCAGTCAGGATGTGTACAGACAACACGCAGCAAGTGTTCTGTAAGCAATTTTCTTCTTTGTTCAAATAGTCTGTAAGTATATACCTTGTCTTTCTAACTCTGCAACACTTGTTTTATGACCTTCATCAAAAGGCAGTAAGATGATACATATAAAAACATTTAAAGATACGTATTATAGAAAAATTACAAACAAGTTTACAGTGTTTTTTAACAAAATTGACTTTTCGTTTCTAGTTTATATATTGTACTACTAAATTGAATAATGTTTTAATTTTTATTAAAAGCTACACATTTCAAAATGTTGATTCAAATACTGTTGACAGAACTGCAATTTATTACATACACTGTATAGAAAAATATTTTTATGACTTCGTATTTAATGATTTATTTCTCCAGGATTTCAGGTTGAGACATGATTTAGAACACCTAATCAAAAAACACTTTTTTTTTTAGATAATTGTTTTTTGCTTTGTCAAAAGTTAGTAATTTGTCTCTCATTACATTAGTTTTTGTGAAATCATAATTTAATGAAATTGATAATTCAAAGCCCACTTTTGCTTGGATGTATTACAAACCTTAATTTCACCTTTAGTTGCTACAATGTATATTTACACAATCTATATAAATATTAATTATAGATTTTTCCTGTGTATAGACTGTCGAGTAGTGTAAGTTCTTTTAGGTGGTTCAAATATTCAAACTGTATTGATACTGCTAAGTCTTGTCCAAATCCTCCTTGTCACCTTGTGTCAATTACAACACAATCACTGTTGCCATAGAAATTTTCATCACACACTGTATTGGTCAGTTTAAGCAATTACAAAATAATTTTAATATAATAGGCAAACATTTAGTTGTAGAACGGCAAATCCTGTTTCATACATCAAAAACAAAGTGTTGTTATGATTTGTTCAAGTATTAGGTAAAAGCTAGTAATATTTTTACAACTAACACAGTGCTGGTATAGTGCTATTTGTTGTAATTTTTTTCATAAATGCAAGTATTAAAAGCTTTGCAAAGAAAACAAGTGAAAATTTTCCTGCTTGCAGAGCTGATTCTATAATGAACTAAGTTATAGGGTCTAAAATATTTCAAACCTTAGACTTCACTTAAAATAAGACGGATATTGACAGGATTCTTCAGCTATATGCCAGTGAGCTGTTTAAAGATTATTTAATTGTCATTTTTTGATAGAATATTTTCACAGAGTATTTTTAATTGAATATAGTATTACTAACACTTCTAATCAAATTGAGTTAACTATATTAAAACTGAAAATCAACTTATAACTAAATAAAGCCAGTTGTGTTTAACAAACTTACTAAAAATACTTGATGTCATAAATCAGCACACAAGAAAAATAAAACCAACTATTAGAATTCATAGAATTGTCAGCTGAGTACCCTTGTTGTTGTTAGTTGTTGTAGATATAATCCCAATAATATCAGCCAAAAACAAGGTTTTGCTATCTTAGGATACTTAGGTTAATATCACCCAAGATTTTGCTATCTTAGCAAGTTTAGGTTGATGTCTCACGAAGTTTCGTATCTTAGAAAATTTAAGTTAATATCTCTCAAGATTTTGCTATTTTAGGATATTTCGATTACTATCCCACAAGGTTTTGCTATTTTAGGAAATTTAGGTTAATATCCCATAAGATTTTCCTATCTTAGGATATTTAAGTTAATATCCCACAAGGTTTTGTTACTTTAGGATATTTAGATTAATATCTCACAAGGTTTTGCTAGCTTTTAGTTATCAGTATTACTTTAGGTGGTCCAGTATGGATTCAAGGTGTTGTACATACTGATAGATTATAATTATGTAACAATCTACAACAGCTTATATCTGCTGTAACTCCTTTGTGTTGCTAGAAATGTCACTATTGACTGACATTTTATAAAGAATGAATTGTATGTAATGTAGAGTTAATTGAAGGTCTAACTTTAGCATATTATGGTCCTAATTATGCACACCAGGCTGCAGTGTAAAAACCTTAACACCAAGTTTGGAATGATAATAACATTATGACATTTGAGTGTAGTGATTAGTGTTGATGTACCTTCTACATGTAAAACCATTTAGTCCAAATGTAACTTCACAGCTTTATCTATCACACTTTATTGAAAACTTTTAACATGAACAAATATCCACACTAGTGATTAAGTCATGTGCAGCTATCTAAACTGTTGATCAAATCACAGTCAGATATGTACACTAACAATCAAATCATACAAAGAAATATATATACTATCAAAATACAACTACATATAGAAACATATGGATGATACTTCCATTATTTGGCAACATGGCACAAATGCTTTACAAATGTTCCTTGGCTTTCTCAATTCCCAGCAGCCAACCATCAAACTCACAATGAAAATAATGAAAAAAAATCCAGTCACATTTTCTTGATGTCCTTGTCAAATGAAAATTCACAAGTTTATCCACCAGAGTTTATGGAAAACTGGTCAACATAGACAAATATCTACACTATCAGTCAGATAACTAAGACATTTATCTTCATTCAGTCAAATCACGTAGACTGATATCTATGCTATTGATCGAATCACAATACAAATATCTATTGATCAAATTGCACATAGATATCTAAACTATTGATCAAGTTACACAAATTTGCACTATTGATCAAATTACACAGACAAATCTACACTGTCGATCTTATCACAAAGACAAATATCTACTGTTGATCAAATCACAAAGACAAATATTTACTCTATTGGTTAAATCACACAGATAAGTATCTACACTATCGATCAAATCATACACAAATATCTACACTATTGATCAAGTCACAAAGATAAATGTCCTTTATATTGCAGCGACAAATATCTACTCTGTTTATCAAATCACACATACAGAGATCTGCACTATTGATCAAATCACACAGACAGATGTCTACATTGTCAATCAAATCATGCAGACAAATGTCCACACTGTTGATCAAATCACACACAGATACCTACATTATTCATCAAATCATGCCGACAAATGTTTACGCTAACAATCAAATCACAAAGACAAATATCTGTTGTATGAATCAAACACATACAGTTATCTACACTATCGATCAAGTTACAAGGACAAGTCTGCAGTATCGATCAAGTCACAAAGACATATCTGTTGTATGAATCAAACACATACAGTTATCTACACTATCGATCAAGTTACACTGATGAGTCTGCAGTATCGATCAAATCACAAAGACAAATATTTGTTGTATGAATCGAACACATACAGTTATCTACACTATCGATCAAGTTACATTGACAAGTCTGCAATATCGATCAAGTCAGAAAGACAAATATCTACTTCATAGATCAAATAACACAGACAGAGAACTACACTTGATCAAATTGCACAGAATTTGTTTTATACTCCTGATCAATTAGAAAATCAAAAGGATATGCAAAACAAGTTTCAGATCTAAACTTACTTCATCAGAAACATGTTATCCATGAAATTCCTTGTACCTGTGGTAACTTATACATTGGAGAAATGGATAGATATAGGGAGCATAGATTTATAGGACATAAAACCACACTTTGATTAATAATATTCAAGAGTTCATCCATAGTATAACATACTGTTTAGGTAATTAACTGGAAAATTGTAAGTTCATTGATAAAGCAAAATACCTTAACATCATAAAGATTAAGACATCATTTTATATATTGTAGGAACCAAAGATGCAACATATAACAAAGATTTGAGACAAGATGTCTCTTTGGATTTTTTTTTCAAGAAATCTAGAGAACTTTTTCACAGGGCTGTGCTTAACAGTCAATCAGACAAACAGTAACAGTCAAGTAGTTTTTTTTCTTTCCATAACCATAAATACTTGCCTTGATTAAAAAAAAAAAGTGTGAAAATGTATTCTAATTTCAATGCATTCTAGGCTCTGGTCATTCACAAACTCTCACCCAATTATTTTCATCTTCAGAAAATCATTTCTTCATGGAAAAAGTGGAGCAAGACTAATCCAGGGCCCCCTGCACATATACAGGATCCTGAACAAGCATCATCTGTTGGTGAATGGACATTCAGAAGATTTTCAGGGTCTGTTTGTGGTCAGGATCCTCGGTAATCTCACTCACCTTACATTGTTTAGTTTACAGGTTCCAATACACATATTAGAACCATAGTATATGTATGTATGTAGTTTGAATCACAAACAAGTTCATTTTTTAGTGTTTATAAGGTGAGATATTTTAGTTTTTATACATGCTGAAAAGGGCTCGGCATGGCCAGGTGGTTAAGGCACTCGACTCGCAATCTGAGGGTCGCGGGTTCGAATCCCTGTCACACCAAACATGCTTGCCCTTTCAGCCGTGGGGGCATTATAATGTGACGGTCAATCCCACTATTCGTTGGTAAAAGAGTAGCCCAAGAGTTGGTGGTGGGTGATGATGACTAGCTGCCTTCCCTCTAGTCTTACACTGCTAAATTAGGGACAAAAAACAAACAAACATGCTGAAAGTTTATATGTTTAAAGACCGTTAAAATGCAGAGAAAGAAAGATTCAAATAAGTACTATGAATAGTAATTTTATACTTCAGGTAAAGTCCTTAAATGCTAGTCTGTACACTTGTTAACATACTTGACTTTTTTTTTCTTTTTTACAAAAATAGAAGTATTGTATTACTGTAGAGGTGGAAATCTGTCACAGTTTAACAAGATTTCTCTGAATGTTTCAGATATTTTAAGTAACATCAGTTATTGTAGCAGTTTGTAAAGTACTTTTAAATGTATTATAAGTTAATGTTGATTAGCTCTTTAAATCAATAATTTTTTGTGCCTTGTACCATTGATCTGAAATTTGTTTCAAAACAAATGACAATGTTTCACAGAACTTCTGGTCTACTTATAAAAGGTGGATAATAACATGGTTTGGATTATTTTTTTCAACCAAAGAAATACAAATGTTATTGGATGCTTTCACTACCCAGTGGGTAAATCTGGATTTTTGGCCAGATGCTGGGAGTGTCCACTCAGGCTTAAGGAGTTAAAAACATCAAGGAATATCAGTCAACAGAAGAGACTGTAGTGTTAATGTTACAGTTAGATCTGCTGTGTTCATGGTGTCTAATCAGTTATTATACACACTTGTATAAAAGTCCATCAAAAATGATGGGAAATCATTGTTAAATGATTACAAAAATTATAGAATTTACCTAAAACGAATTTGTCTGTACCTCCAAAATGTACCTACTCTTCACTTATTTCATCAGTCTCGAAGTAATAACAAAAGTATGTGTGCACTCTGAAAGAGATTTAAACAGCACTCTTGAGCCTTTTTACTGTATTCTAGATCAGGAATTAGAAAACACAGTGCAGACATTCCAACACAGATTTTCAATTCTTTCAACTGTACAATGGATAAAAGCTATTTGGTAGTAATAAACGTTTATTTTCTTTATGTTTTAAGGCCAAGTAGGTAATATATGTGTTAAAATACCAAAAGAATATTTACTAATTAATATTTATTCACCACTTAAAACGTTTTAAACATTGACTCCATAATGTTAGTAATAGTAGGCCTATTTGAAATCTGATTTAAGCATTATGCCTAATACATAAATGTAACGTGAGGCTTAGCTGAAACACTACATGGTAAATTTAATTTGCATTTGGCTACAACTCAGTGTCATAAAACTTCTGAATTAAACTATTTTGCTGTTATATCACCATAGTTATCCAAAAAATAAAGAATAAAAAACAAACCTTTCTAACAAATCAACATGAATATTGAGCATTCAACATAAACACTATAGTTGGCTTAAGAACATTTGGTTGATAATGTATATTGTTGAGCATTACCAAAAAAGGAGTGTAATAACAGATGCTAAACAGAAATCAGTAATGAGTCATGTCACAAAAGAAAATGTGAAGTAATTTACAATCTTGCACAAGATTGAAATTCACTCATTAATATTCTTCGTATGTCAGTAGTGTAAACCCACAATTATTTTCTAGTAAGACTACTGGGTTATATTTATAAATTATAAGAGAATCTTTAGTTAAAATAAATTAGAAGCACTGTTAATTGAATGTCATTAGCTGTTTGCATTGTTGGTGTCTGAAAACAATGTTTTGAATAGGATAGATCCAACTAGTGGCAGAATATTTAAATTGAGAGTAAAATCCAGAATGAGGCTGTTTAGTTATAAACAACACTTAGTTTATTAGAATTAAAATCTTTGTTTGGCAGTATTCCTTGTAAAATACATTTGTAACTTGAAAGTTTTAATCTTCATTTCAACAAAAAACCTTCAATAACCTGATATGTTTCTCTCATATTTAAAACTATTTATCTGTAGCATAAATGGTTTTAAATATGAGAGAGACGTATAAAGTTACTGAAGGTATTACCTTCTATACTACATGAAGCTCAAAACTGTTGCCTTTCAACTTATTGCAGATATTAAGGTTTAAAAGCCTTTGTAGATGGATATTCATTCGCATATTCCTATATGTGACTTCTTTGTGCATGTTTGTCAAATCTTCAATAGCTCAAATTATTATTTTCACTAACCTAAAAGTTAAGATAAATGTGGATCAGATCTTCAGAAAGTTCAATGCTATTCAATATGGAAATCTTTGTTAAATTTCTGTTAATTTCTAACTCTATAATACCTCTATTATAGTTTGCTATAATAAAAATGTTATTTATTTTTATTGTGTGTGTGCTACATGAGAAACTAGTTACTAACATGTTTTGCTGATAATCTAGCCATTTTTATTAGAATAACTAAAATTGGAGAGAAAAATGTATATATTTTGTGTTAGGTACTACTGAGCACAAAAGTAATATTTTGGTCATTGGTATACATGTTTCTAACTTTAAAAACTTTACAATAAGATGTTGTTCTAGAAGTTTTTAAAAAGTAGAAATCTAAATGTATTGCTGAGAATTTACACTAAGTGAAGTAAGAAGATTATACTGATATGAAAAGAAAAAATATAAAATTATGTGGCATTCATGTTGTAATGTAAAAATTATATCAATAATATGGTGTTACTTAACCCTTTAATTTAAAGAATAACATCACTGAAAGGTATTTCCTTATTTTTGTTATGGGTATCATGCACAAAAGTAATGTTTTCATCTTCTGTGTACATGTAATTGTGATCTTTGAAGTAATATTCAAATTTGATATCCTAAGTATAAATGTTAAACTAAGTTTTTGCTTCCAGATACTGTGAGGAACCAGCTTCTGCCCATCCTTTTGAATGGCCTGATGACATCTCAAAGTGGCCAGTAAGTCTAAATTAATTTTTTTGGGTGCATTTGAGTTTAGTATTAACTTTAGAAATAACATATATTCTTTGGAGTTTGAGCTTTCTAACCTTTAACAATTGGCAACAAATTAGAATATTACTTCTATGCTAGATCTGTAAACAGCCAGTCCACGGAAAGAACCAAGCTGATGACCACATGGCTTGTGAAGTGATTGGTCGGCCTTGCTGTGTGGGGATCTATGGGGAATGCCGCATCACGACAAAGGAGTATTGTGACTTTGTAAGAGGATTTTTTCATGAAGAGGCAGCCTTGTGCTCTCAGGTAGAGAAAGAAAATTATATTAGTTTTTACAATTATCTGTTAAGGTTTTTTTTTTTTAACATACGAAAATTTGTTTCTAAGTACAAAAATAATAAATTTTTGTGCTGTCAATATTATGAAGCTGATGTAATGGCTGCATTAAAAAGAGTCTGAAAAATAAAAAGTTTTTGCTAAAATTCAACACAGGTGGCTCAAATAGCTCTGTGTGAGGAATATAAATTTTTAGTAGTGTCCCCACAATAGGTATAAAACTTAATACTTTCACTATGGCTGTTACGTATATATTCCCCAGTGTTCCCACCCCTTTGCATTGCAACTGAGACAAATGTTTCCCATTGTCATTTAAAATTGTCGCACATGATGTATGGGAGTAAAGTGAGTTGGAAAGTATTTATTGGCATCCCACCTAATACTGATATATAGTTTCCCTCAATGTTTTCCTCTCAACCCTTCAGTAACCAACAAGATGCCTAAGCAGAATGTACGACAACTGTGTGCTGGAGCTGCAAGTAGTAACCCTAATTACTATTTAAATGTGCTTGATATGCTTGACTCAGATATCTTAGAAGATAGTGAAAGTGAGTCAAGTGTTGTTCAAATGCGTGATGATGAAGATACAATGAGATGAGAGGATGCTAGCTCTCCATCTAGTGATGATAGTCAAGATGATGAACCTGGAACCAGTAGAGGAAGGCATAAACAGTGTTGACAGTGGAAAACATTTGTCCAATCGCAGTGTGAGGGGGTGGGAGCACTGGGAAATATACATTCCAGAAATGTATATTAATCCACTTGCATGTTTTAATTTTTCCAGGTATCCTGTCTAGATGATGTTTGTGGAATGATTCCATTTTATAACTCAGAAGTACCTGATCAGTTTTACCGCCTTTGGACGTCTCTCTTTCTTCACGCAGGGTAAGGCATTTGTTTTGTATTTGCATTAATCATTTTGGAGATGAATAAGACAGACTTATTTTAGTTGTTACTCTGAATATTAAAGCTATGCCATAAAGCAGTATTAGATTATATAAGGAACTACACTGTAGTAATAATTGTAATATAGTGTAAAATTTGTATCTTTATTAATATTTTAGTGATACTAATAGAAGAAGTCTGGTAAGTAGTAAAAAAACTTTCTTATTATATTAAAGCTATGCCATAAAGCAGTATTAGATTATGTAAGGAACTACACTGTAGTAATAATTGTAATACAGTGTAAAACTTGTATCTTTACTAATATTTTAGTGATACTAATAAAATAAAGTCTGGTAAGTAGTAAAAAACTTTCTTATTATATTAAAGCTTTGCCATAAAGCAGTATTAGATTAAGTAAGGAACTACACTGTAGTAATAATTGTAATACAGTGTAAAATTTGTATCTTTACTAATATTTTAGTGATACTAATAAAAGAAGTAGTAAAAAAAAAACTTTTTCTTATGATATCGTGTGCCAATTAAATAGGGGAATAATACATAATTTATTTCAGATGTATTCCTTACGTAGTGAGATTTTTAGAATATTTTATTTGCAGTCCACTTGGTGAACAATGTTTCATCTCTCTCTGATGTATCCTGAAGTGTGTAGGGCCAACACTTATTTCAGTTTCTACTAATTTTCTGTGTATTTCTTTTCCAAGTTAGCACAAGGTTTGAATCCAATATTTTTGGACACTTGTACTTTAAAAAAATTACTCCAAAAGTGCCAGCTGTGCTGACAAACAAAAGAATCAAGTTCGTGTGCCCTTATCAGATATACCTAATCAGCTAACATGAATTTCAAGGAAGCACTGTGTTTTCAGTTTCATATTTTTTAATGTACTATCAAATTTTTAGTCTATGTTTGTGATAATAATTATATTTTTTAATATGTAGTAAAAAAAGGTTTAATAAAAAATAAAACCCTGCTTGAACATGCTGTTTTTATCTGCTATTTCAATACTCATTTTTTAAAATCATTTTAACTATTGTTTACAACTAGTCTTTAATACTAGTTATTGTGAATAATGAGCAGGTTAATTATAGAAAATAATAATTAGTAATATTTAACCATAACCTTGCCTGGATTATCAACTGGCAAAGAAATGATGGTCTTGAAATGATGCCCTTAATGGTCACTGGTTGAACACTAGAATCTATTGTCATTTTGTTGGCTAGTCATCATTAGTTTCGAGCAGCATGAGCAGAAATGAAAGTAAGTGCTAAAATTACACTCTTTAGCTAAAATAATGAGTCCATTCACTTTTTAGCTAAAATAATGAGTCCTTTCACTCTATAGCTAAAAAAATAATGAGTCCTTTCACTCTTTGGCTAAAAAAATAATGAGTCCTTTCACTCTTTGGCTAAAAAAATAATGAGTCCTTTCACTCTTTGGCTAAAAAAATAATGAGTCCTTTCACTCTTTGGCTAAAAAAATAATGAGTCCTTTCACTCTTTAGCTAAAAAAATAATGAGTCCTTTCACTCTTTGGCTAAAAAAATAATGAGGCCTTTCACTCTTTGGCTAAAGAAATGATGAGGCCTTTC